TCCTGTTGTCTCCGTCTGTCCTGTCTCCGTCTGTCCTGTCTCCGTCTGTCCTGTCTCCGTCTGTCCTGTCTCCGTCTGTCCTGTCTCCCTCTGTCCTGTCTCCGTCTGTCCTGTCTCCCTCTGTCCTGTCTCCGTCTGTCCTGTCTCCCTCTGTCCTGTCTCCCTCTCTCCTGTCTCCCTCTCTCCTGTCTCCCTCTGTCCTGTCTCCCTCTGTCCTGTCTCCGTCTGTCCTGTCTCCCTCTGATGGGTGAGTTTTCTACAGGAGTGAGTTCATCTGAACAATCGTTCACCTGCTCCACGGGTTTGACACCAGTCTGGTTCTTCATGGACGAGTGTTTTTACCTCTCTGACTGTCCTCTCTGACTGTCCCCTCTGACTGTCCCCTCTGACTGTCCTCTCTCCAGTCCAGGGTTCACCTCAAATGTACACAGTGAAATATTGATCTGAACGTCCACACACAGACGTCCTCTGACTGACTGACTGACTGACTTCACTCTTTCAGTGTTGTCCTTCTAGCCCTGGACCCCGAGGGGCAGGAGGGGTATTGACAGGAGGGGTATTGACAGGAGGGGTATTGACCCTGAGGGCAGGAGGGCAGTAGGGGTATTGACAGGAACAGGTTTGCCTCCATGTTGATCTGTGTTGTGTTTCTTTTGAAGTCATGGACGAAGTGTTGGACGACGCGGTGGTGCTGTGTGCAGGTAAAGTGGCCGTCAGTCTTCTGCTCCTGCCGTCCCTGACCTCGTCCTCCTCCAGTCCAGTCAGCTTCTGCTGCTGCTGCATCCTGGTCTTCACAGACCTCGTGGTCACAGGTGAGTGTCAGGACCAGGTGACCAACACTGGTCCTCACTGGTCTGGACGTCATTATTAAAAAAAACCCAAAGAACTAGTACAAGTATTTTCATGTATGTACTGACAGGACGGAGTACCAGTAGCTACAGCTCTTTGGGTTGGCTGTTGTTCAGTCTGTTGTTCAGTCTGTCGTTCAGTCTGTTGTTCAGTCTGTTGTTCAGCCTGTTGTTCAGCCTGTTGTTCAGTCTGTCGTTCAGCCTGTTGTTCAGCCTGTTGTTCAGTCTGTCGTTCAGCCTGTTGTTCAGCCTGTTGTTCAG